CCTTGGATTGGTTGGCCTCGATTTCTCACAGAGGGAGCCTTTCCTGCAAAAGCTGGCTGATCAATGACAGCCCAGCAAAGCAGGAAGCTGGCTAATTTTGATTTTGTACCTACCTGGCTGGCACCCAGTGCTATCCCTAACTAATCTTTTCTGGGGTATTCTGGAAAAGGTTCAGGAAAGGGCACCAAACTGATTAGGGCTGCTATATGAAATGAAACAGCTACCATATGAAGAGAGATTAAAAAGACTGGGATTTTTCATCTTAGAAAAGAGAAGACGAAGGGGAGATCTGACAGAGGTCTATAAAATCATGATAGGTATGGAGAAAGTAAAAAGGAAAAGTGATTTACTTGTTCCCACAACATACGAAGTAGGGGTCCCCAAATGAAATTAATAGGTAGCAGATTTAAAACAAACAAAAGGGAAGTTTTTCTTCGTGAAGTACACAGCCAACCTGTGGAACTCCTTGCCAGAGGATGTTGAGAAGATCAGGACTTTAGCAGGGGTCAAGAAAGAACTAGATACATTTATGGAGGTTAGGTTCATCAGTGGCCATTAACCAGGATGGGTAGGGATGGTGTCCCTAGCCTCTGATTGTAAGAGGCTGGAAATGGATGACAGGAGAGGGATCACTTGATGGTTGCCTGTTCTGTTCACTCCCTCTGGGGCATCTGTATTGGCCACTGTCAGAAGACAGGGCACTGAGCTAGATGGACCTTTGGTCTCACCCAGTGTGGCCCTTCTTGTGTTCTTATGTAACTTAACTTTGTGACTCCTATCACATGCTGCAAATCAAGGAGTGTCCCAGAACACTGAGAGAGCTCATGTGGCACCAATGTATTCCCAGCAGCTCCCAGGGCAGCTTTGGCTTATTCTTAGGAGCATTATGTTCTGCAATCATTCCAAATTAAACAAATACCCATCTCCCTTCGTTCACGCTCTGTCATCACCCACATTTTCATAATAGATTTTCTGGACAGCTCTGATTTCCATCAATTTTTTTGAAGCTATTCTGCCTTCTCTTTTAAATTCTTGCCTTTGCGGTTTGTGACGGTCCAACCACTTTGCATTGTTAACTTTTCCATTTATCCTCTGAAGAGTCCCAACTCTGAGGATAATGTGATCCCTAGACAATTCATATTCACTGGCTTGAATCTCATTTATCATACATGGTTAATTTCCTAAAATTGAGTCCAAAATATTCATTTATCTTGCTGGGTAAGTGTGATGGGGAACCGACTTTTACTCTCTTAAGAAAATTACACCCTTTCTCATTCTTATTCCTGTCAGTGAAAATACAGTTCACCACATCCATTCGTCTAGCCTTTTCTTGTTTCCCTTGTTTGCATGATCATTTCTGAATCTGCTTTTGCAACGTGCATCGAAGGCCTTTAATAATGGTGTTTTAACCATTGCAGTGTCCTGCACTAGATCGAGCATATCTGTGCTGTGGAGAAGCAAAGTCTGTCTCTTTTCATTGCTCTCCCTAGCATCCCTTCTATTCACATAGGCCACCTCAGCTGTACACGGTCATTAGAAAAGGGAGAGGGTGGAGTGCCTACGCGGGAAGGGAAGGGAGCACGAGACAGAGAGACCCTCCGTGGGGAAGGGGGGAGCTGTAGCAGAGATATGAAGGGAGAGGCATTGTGGGGAAGGTGTTTTCTCAGCACTGTGAGCGGCAGCGTGAGATAGGGCTTGGGATCAGAAAAGGAGCCGGCAGAACAACGCTACGAACCTCAGAGCTCGAGTGTTCACCGAGCACCCGTGGAAAGTAGCCCTAAATCACCGAATGTCGGTCCGCTTCACAATGTCCATGTTTTCACCGTGTCAGAAGAAATGGCCGAGGTCAGCGACCCTGTGCAGCAGACACCAGTCACGCTTGTTGGCTGCCTCTCTTGCCCAGCTGGGTGCATCCTCCAGTGGGTAAGAGTGGGTGGGGCTCTGTTCCCAAAGGTCCATGCGCCATGCAGCATCTGCTGCCTGAGGGATGCCAATAGGGCCAAGCGGCCTTTGTGCGTGGCGTCTGCTTGGTCAAACGCCACCAGGTGGCAGCAAAGAGAAAGGACTGGGGAGTGGGCCTCAGCAGTGGCCTGCTCTCTCCGTGGGCTGCAGCTGGGGCTCCACCTGTGGCCCCCTGCCCCCGCCTGTCTGCCCACGTGCCTCATGCGCACGAGGACACCGGAGCCCCGCACTTCCTCCTCCCCGTCTCTCCCAGCACTCTCAGAGCGCGCAAATCTCCCCAAAGGCATGTTGGGGAGGGAGACAGACAATGGGTCCGTGGGCCACAGTGGAGCCCCAGTGGGCCGTGGGCAGCCCATGGGCCACCGGTTGCCCACCACTCAGCTGGGTTCTCGGTAAAATTGCCCAAGGTGCAGATTTTCCTGTTGGATTTTCCTGTCGTTTTCTCACGGCTCGGGACCTCCCCATGCGCACAAAGCGCTGGCCATGTAGGGGGCCGAGCTGGCCTGGTGCTGCGTCTTGGTCTCTCCGCCTGGGGCATGCAGCGGGGACAAACACTGTCTGACCGTCAGCACAGATGAGCGGTTGTGGGTGCTCGAGGACTGATCAGGGCATGTGCTCCTAAAAATGTCAGGCTCACCTCCGAACACTGCCAATCACCTGGGCCTGTCGGCATCTCTCCTTTCTAACCAAGCCGTTGGGTGAGCTGGACCCTCGCTGGGCTTAGTCCCCCTGGCAGGCAGCTTGTTTGTTCTACCACAGTCCTCTGGAACAGAGCAGACTGCTGTATATGTACCCTCCCGGGTGTCACTGGCTCCCATCCGACACAAGCATCTTACCACAATGCCCTATTGGTCTTTGGAGCAGTCTATAATATTTCACTTCCCCTTGTTCTCCCCAGGGCCAGGCAAAGAAGCCTGTATACAATGTGCCAAACATTTCCACCTGCACGAGTGGCGATGTGTCCCTGCTTGCAGCCAGGGGTTTTACCCTGAGGAGGTGCCAGGTCTGCCTTCTAAAGTCTGCACCAGGTACGGGAACCTCTTGAGCCCTTTCCCTTTGAAGTTAGCATGAGGAATTGCACAGGGATCCGTTCTTAATAGCTGGCGGAGCCATCGGCAGTCAGAGAGGGGCTGCTGAGAGTGTGTGTCATGGGGAACAAAGATAAAAATCCTGAAAAACGGCAGGCAGAGGGTGCTGCTTACTAGACCGACTAAAATGGTCAAACAAGCCCTGAGCTTCTGGGAATCACCTTTCCCACGCCAGAGCGGATTTTTCACTAGTGAAAAGTGTCAGCGTGGGGCATCCTTAGAGAGCAAACGCCTTGGGGGGCATCATATTGTTCTGCTTGTGCAGCACCTGGCCCAGTGGAACCCCAGTCAATGACTAGGCCTGAGAGGGGCTACAATGGTACAGAGAACAAATGAACATAAGAAGTCTTGCCTCAGGGCCAGGGGGGCTGGGTTCTAAACCCACCCCAAGACTTGGGCTCATAGGCACCACCGTGGTTTGCTGACAGGGCTAGATTGTGAAAGGGGCTTCTGGGGCTACACCCCATAAATAAAGCCCCTGGCTGGAGGTGGGGAGGCAGATCCATGCGCTGCTGTTCCCCATCCTCCTCTCAGGCTGGAGCTGTGGCCAGTAAAGTGGTGGGGGGTGGTGCCTACAAGCACAGGGAAGCGCAGTATCACCTGTTCCCCTACCACCAAATGAGAGCTGTGTTGGGTAAGTACCCCAATCCCCTGCCCCCTCCTTTACCTTCCCTCTGGGACCCCATAGCCCCACCCCCCAGTCTACTCCTGCACCCTGCCTCCTTCCCAGACCCTGCCCCTCCACCCCCAGCCTGCACCCTCCCTCCTTCCCAACCCCTGCACCTCCCCCCCCAGCCTGCACCCTACCTCCTCCCCAAACCCCGCACCTCCCCCCCCAGCCTGCACCCTACCTCCTCCCCAAACCCCGCACCTCCCCCCCCAGCCTGCACCCTACCTCCTCCCCAAACCCCGCACCTCCCCCCCCAGCCTGCACCCTACCTCCTCCCCAAACCCCGCACCTCCCCCCCCAGCCTGCACCCTACCTCCTCCCCAAACCCCGCACCTCCCCCCCCAGCCTGCACCCTACCTCCTCCCCAAACCCCGCACCTCCCCCCCCAGCCTGCACCCTACCTCCTCCCCAAACCCCGCACCTCCCCCCCCAGCCTGCACCCTACCTCCTCCCCAAACCCCGCACCTCCCCCCCCAGCCTGCACCCTACCTCCTCCCCAAACCCCGCACCTCCCCCCCCAGCCTGCACCCTACCTCCTCCCCAAACCCCGCACCTCCCCCCCCAGCCTGCACCCTACCTCCTCCCCAAACCCCGCACCTCCCCCCCCAGCCTGCACCCTACCTCCTCCCCAAACCCCGCACCTCCCCCCCCAGCCTGCACCCTACCTCCTCCCCAAACCCCGCACCTCCCCCCCCAGCCTGCACCCTACCTCCTCCCCAAACCCCGCACCTCCCCCCCCAGCCTGCACCCTACCTCCTCCCCAAACCCCGCACCTCCCCCCCCAGCCTGCACCCTACCTCCTCCCCAAACCCCGCACCTCCCCCCCCAGCCTGCACCCTACCTCCTCCCCAAACCCCGCACCTCCCCCCCCAGCCTGCACCCTACCTCCTCCCCAAACCCCGCACCTCCCCCCCCAGCCTGCACCCTACCTCCTCCCCAAACCCCGCACCTCCCCCCCCAGCCTGCACCCTACCTCCTCCCCAAACCCCGCACCTCCCCCCCCAGCCTGCACCCTACCTCCTCCCCAAACCCCGCACCTCCCCCCCCAGCCTGCACCCTACCTCCTCCCCAAACCCCGCACCTCCCCCCCCAGCCTGCACCCTACCTCCTCCCCAAACCCCGCACCTCCCCCCCCAGCCTGCACCCTACCTCCTCCCCAAACCCCGCACCTCCCCCCCCAGCCTGCACCCTACCTCCTCCCCAAACCCCGCACCTCCCCCCCCAGCCTGCACCCTACCTCCTCCCCAAACCCCGCACCTCCCCCCCCAGCCTGCACCCTACCTCCTCCCCAAACCCCGCACCTCCCCCCCCAGCCTGCACCCTACCTCCTCCCCAAACCCCGCACCTCCCCCCCCAGCCTGCACCCTACCTCCTCCCCAAACCCCGCACCTCCCCCCCCAGCCTGCACCCTACCTCCTCCCCAAACCCCGCACCTCCCCCCCCAGCCTGCACCCTACCTCCTCCCCAAACCCCGCACCTCCCCCCCCAGCCTGCACCCTACCTCCTCCCCAAACCCCGCACCTCCCCCCCCAGCCTGCACCCTACCTCCTCCCCAAACCCCGCACCTCCCCCCCCAGCCTGCACCCTACCTCCTCCCCAAACCCCGCACCTCCCCCCCCAGCCTGCACCCTACCTCCTCCCCAAACCCCGCACCTCCCCCCCCAGCCTGCACCCTACCTCCTCCCCAAACCCCGCACCTCCCCCCCCAGCCTGCACCCTACCTCCTCCCCAAACCCCGCACCTCCCCCCCCAGCCTGCACCCTACCTCCTCCCCAAACCCCGCACCTCCCCCCCCAGCCTGCACCCTACCTCCTCCCCAAACCCCGCACCTCCCCCCCCAGCCTGCACCCTACCTCCTCCCCAAACCCCGCACCTCCCCCCCCAGCCTGCACCCTACCTCCTCCCCAAACCCCGCACCTCCCCCCCCAGCCTGCACCCTACCTCCTCCCCAAACCCCGCACCTCCCCCCCCAGCCTGCACCCTACCTCCTCCCCAAACCCCGCACCTCCCCCCCCAGCCTGCACCCTACCTCCTCCCCAAACCCCGCACCTCCCCCCCCAGCCTGCACCCTACCTCCTTCCCAAACCCTGCACCTCCACCCCCAGCCTGCACTCTTCCTCCTTCCCAAACCCCGCACCTGCACCCCCAGCCTGTACCCTGTCTCCTTCCTAAACCCGCACCTCCCCCCCCAGCCTGTACCCTGCCTCCTTCTCAAACCCCGCACCTCCACCCCCAGCCTGTACCCTGTCTCCTTCCTAAACCCGCACCTCCCCCCCCAGCCTGTACCCTGCCTCCTTCTCAAACCCCGCACCTCCACCCCCAGCCTGTACCCTGTCTCCTTCCTAAACCCGCACCTCCCCCCCCAGCCTGTACCCTGCCTCCTTCTCAAACCCCGCACCTCCACCCCCAGCCTGTACCCTGTCTCCTTCCTAAACCCGCACCTCCCCCCCCAGCCTGTACCCTGCCTCCTTCTCAAACCCCGCACCTCCACCCCCAGCCTGCACCCTACCTCCTTCCCAGACCCCGCACCTCCACTCCCAGCCTGCTCCCTGGCAACCCCCTCCCTCACATAAACCCCTAACTTTTAGCCCTATCCCAAAGTGTGCGGGGGGGAGGGGGAGGGCCCACAAAATCTACCAGTCCTGGGTCCCAAGAAGAGTTAATCCAGCCCTGCTTGCTGCACTGTCCTTCAAGGCAGATGCTAAACCCTTATGGCTGAGATGAACATTAATACTTCTCTAGTGCCCTTTAAAAAGGGTAACTCCAGTATTCAGAAAACAGGGGCTGGCGCCTGGAGGTATATGGAGCATCAACTAACTGCTCCATTTGCCTTCATAGGCAGTTCTCTGGCAGTGTGTCGCTCATTCCTTTCCAAAGCACTGAGGTGATTTGGGCAGGAGAGGCTCTGTAAGAAACAACATTCCAGTCCTTTCTCAAACATAAGTGTTTTTAACAAAAGAGGAGACTCGCAGGAATTTCCCCTAATTATATTAAAGAAATAAATGTTGTTATTTAATAGAACACAATGTTCTAATTTCTCCAGGCAGTAACCCAGTCAGATTCCTTCCTTTCTGGAGGTTTCATCAGCACATCTACATACTGTCTCCTTTAGATAGGAGGAATGCTTGATGTAACTTCTTTATTTTCTGCCTCTTCACCTTCAGCTTGAACTCTCTGTAGTTTACCGCTACCTGCCTTTCTTAAAAAAAACAACCCACAGAATAAAAACATGATGCACTGAAAACATCTTGCATTTACTTATTCCTGGACAGAAATCTGTGTTAAACTGGAGATCACGCATTGTTAATTTAGAAATCCTGGAGATGTGGGAATTGTCCCCCGAAACAAGCATTACTGGTCCTGGCATCTCTACAGGGCAGAGTAAAGCTTGTTTAGGAGACTTAACTGCATTCTGCAATTTCAACATGACTGGATTTCTTTTACGTTTAACCTCTGAATTTCCTGGGTCTGGAGTAATTACAACATTCCTGTGAGGTTTTTAACCCTAAAATTCCTGATATAAGTTCTCCAAGGTAATGGTTTTGTCTGTGAGTATTAAAAATAGCTTCATTTCTAATCTTTTTGATCAGAAGATGAAGAAGGCGGGAAATGGCTGGGACCCACCAAGCCCATTTTCCATAGGCCATCAGAGTATGGCAACTTTTTAATCACTACTGACCGGAAACAAATGTGAAATGGAGGTGAAAGTCTCCTGAACACTGTCACCAGTTCAGTAAGGACTTCAGCTCTTCATCGTTCAAGTTTTCCAAAGAGAAAGGGCCTAGTTCAGTCTAGTCATAAGTGGGTTCCAATCCATTCTCCTCAGTGCCCTACGGCTGAATTTGCCCTAGGTTCTGAGAGGTGTCTAGTAGGGATGTGAATGGTTAACCGGTTAACCAGTAAGCATCACCCTTACCGATTACGGTCAACTGGTTAGCTAGAGCAGCCCTACACATCCACCCAGGACCGGCTCCAGCCCTGCAGGGCCCACTGTGGGTGTGGGGCACTCCCACCCAGCCCCCATCCGAAGTGGGCCCAGCCTAGCGCATCATGGGGAGGGATGCCCTAGCCTGGCTGGAGCAGCCCCTTCTCCATGGTGGGCCAGAACTGGTCGGAGCATCCCCTAGCTGTGATGGGGCGGGGGGCGGGGGAATGCTCCAGCCTGCCTGCCCACCCCCGTTTAATCGGTTAATCCACTAAACATAAGATTTAAGTGGCTGACAGATTAACTGGGATTTTCCATCCCTCGTCTCTAGACAAATGGTTGCGGAGCTGAGAGAAAATATTTGTGCTCTTGTCTCTTTGTCAGATGTGATGACAACTGTTCAGCCTGTGAAGGCTCCAGGGACAACTGCATCAAGTGTAAGGAAGGTTTCACTCTTCACGTCGGCTCGTGCGTGACAAACGTATCCTGCCTGGAAGGTACGTAACAAGAGGGTAAATATCTGTAATACCGACCCCAGGCTGGTACCCCAGTAGCACAAACAGGCCCTAAAGTCACCCTCAAAGAGCAGCTGGGGGTGCTCGAATGGCATAAAGTCATGAGAATCAACTCCACATCATCTGCTCCCCACCTGCCCATCTCTGGAAATGTGGCCTGTCAGAGCACGCTCTGGTTATTGAGAGCCATTGAAGGGCTGGTGGGGACTAGTCCAGCTAGCGTATGTTAAAGCATCCCGGGGTGGCTGCACTAAGCTACAGTGCTGGCCCCAGGATGCAGGAAGGCTGAAAGGCAGCTTAGAGATGCATTTGCTTCTCCTGATCTCCATGCACCAGGTGCCGCTGAAGATGGAGTCTGCCTATTGCATACTCTCTTTGCAGGCTCTTGTACTCAACCCCTAGCTGCCTTTAGACACCACTGATTTCATTGGAAGTTAGGCATCTAAATTACTTACAGGATGCAGTCCCGCCTATTTCTGTGAAGTGTCTAGCATGCTATCAGATAATAATAAAAAACCTTCTGAATTTCACATGGGACTGGTCTTGGAATCAAACCAGAGAATAGATGGGAGAAACATATAAGAGCATATAGGGCTGCCAATTGGGGTGGGATTAAAGGGGGCAGCTGCCCTGGCACCTGGCAATTAAAAAGGGCCCAGGGCTCTGGACAACAGCTGGAACCCCGAGCCTTTTAAATTGCCACCTGCTGATGGTGTCCACCCATTGGTGCTGAAGAGCTGCCTGGGGGAATCTAGCCCACAATCCTGCCCCCTTTTCTGGAGGCCTTATCCTTTCTGGGGGCCTAAAGCTGGCCCCCAGCGTGCCCTAAGAAGTCTGTCTTTAACCCTGACAGCATAGGAAAAATCCTTCAACTGCACCTTTCCCAGTTATCTGCATTCCCAAGAATCCCCAGGCTGTGGTCAACAAAATGCTCCTGATTCTTCATTGTCTCCTCATAGGGAGAAACAGGGAGAATGTCTGGTGCTCTGTTTTCATATGTATGGAATGCATAATTGACCTATTCAAATTAAATCAAGTTACAGAATTCCTGACCTGAAACAGCGCTATGATTTCTCCCATCACGGTATCTATACCAGGATTGCAATAGAAACACTGGTTACCCAGCAAGGTTCACAAGTGTTTGCTTATTGCTCACACGAGGGTTTGCTTCAGAGGGATAGTCGAGTTAGTCTGTAACTAGAAAAACTTAAAAAAACAACGAATAGTCTTGTAGCACCTTAAAGACTAACAAAATATGTAGATGGTATCATGAGCTTTCGTGGGTACAACCCACTTCTTCAGATGAAAGACTAATCCTTGGACTAATTCTCCCACTCATCCCAAAGGGTATGTCTACACTACCACCCTAGTTCGAACTAGGGTGGTTAATGTAGGCAACCGAAGTTGCAAATGAAGCCCGGGATTTGAATTTCCCGGGCTTCGTTTGCATCTTGCTGGGCGCCGCCATTTTTAAATCCCCGATAGTTCGGACTCCGTGCCCGCGGCTACACGTGGCACGGAGTAGGTAGTTCGGATTAGGCTTCCTATTTCGAACTACCGGTACAACTCGTACCCCAAGTGTCCCCATTTCTTCAGGTGACTTCTTTTCAATTCTCTCTCCTCACACACTGGAGCAAATTGCATTGCCTGTTCCCTATGAGTGTTTGTTTATTTAAAATGTTAATCTGCTTTCTCAGAGTCTCCTGTTCCTGACCGAGGCCCTTCAACTTTCAAGACTCTCTGTGAGATTGTGAAATCCAAAAAGCTCTGTGAAATGAAGCTGTTTGTTCAGTTATGCTGTCAGACATGTCTCGTGGCTGGATAAATTTCAGTATCTTGCATCCAGGAATTCCACCACCCTGCAAGCCCAGTTTGCTGAACCTTTGGGATAAAAGTTTTTTGTTCTTTTTTTCAACTTTGGAAGACTTTACACAATGCAGCCTAACATCGGTTTGTCAGTTTGGTAATGTTAATATCTCGGTCAATTTGTTTCTACAGCAATATCATGAATGACATTAAAGCTAGGTAGGATCTTGGTAATTAAGGCCCCAAAAATATAAAACAAATGGCAATATTAATACTCTCAAATACTTCTCTTGACTGGGAACTGATGTGGGATCCAGACACCTCACCTTGTTTCTTAGTCAAAATCCTTTCCATTCAACCATTTCAAGGGCATAGCAGGAGATCAGACTTGGAAGCACCCAGCACTTCTGTGCCTCGGAGACGCTATTGATGGTTAAATACTTTCTGTTCTTTTATGCTGGTAGTTCATGGCTGATAAAAATCCATGTTACAAAAAAACCCAAGTACTGTAGTAAAGTATTTTTCTGTTCTTTACATGTGTAAAATAATGAACTGAGTAACCTGAACTGAATAATCTGCTGAATAAAAGATGTAAAGCCAAGTGTTCAGGTTACCCATTGGCGTCTGTTGTTAACTGTTTCTGTCCGGCCATAAACATGGCAATAAGCAAAGATTTGAGGACCATCTTTAGTTAGTGTAAGGGGGACAATCCAATGCACCTGCTAGTGTCAGATCTTAACTTAGCCCATAGCATCCTTCAGGGTCCTCATCCAGCCTGTTGTTGCATGCAAGCTTGTCCCCACACAGATCCCTACTGATTCAGTGGGACTGTGGCCAGACATAAGGGTCTAGCCACATGGATCAGGAGTCTTATTTATTCATCCATTTCTCTTCTGAAATAACCATTAAGTTGTTGATGAACTCAGGTCTGATCATTGAAACAGGCTAAGTTCTTCCTCTCCTAGCTACATGAGATGGTTTTCCCATATTTTTTACTTTTCAGTGCTTTGCATCAAAGCCTTGTCTATATGACAACTTGTTGATGGGCTTAACACCTTACTCTGGCAAAATCCTCCTATTGATGGCAGCAGACTGACTTTCTTAGGCATCTGCTTCCAAAAGAGACATGTTGATGATCTGGTCAAGAAGCATCCTCCCTATCCAGTACAGAAAACCAATCAGAATCTTTTCTCTCTGTCTCCAAACAGGATGTCATGTGGTAGTTGTATAATTGTTTAAAGTGTATTTGGCTATCGTGTTGTCTTAAGATTGTTTATAATAACTTATATGTTTTTCTCCACCAATTATTATTATTATGGGATGTGGGAAATATTTTATGTGTCTTATTCATGTGTTTCTCCTTCTCTGGAACCTCCCTAGTGAGACTTTTTACAAATATGTTATTTTCATTGGACATATGTATGTTGCATGTTCTGATTTTCATTGTTAATAGGTTTAACAAGTTAAACCTTCTGCCAGTGGGTTTAACTTTAAATTCACAGTTAAAGCTTTATCAGTTCTTTATGAAGCAGGAAGAAGCCATTTTTTAATTCAAATTATTTGCACCCTGTCTGGGCCTGGGCCTGGGCCTGAAACCTCAGCCAGTTGAACACGGGACAGCCAAATGCCATTGTTCATAAAACCAAATGGATCAACAACCACGTAAAGGTGAAGCTTCTATGAACTGACCATTAACTGAATAAATTGTTTACATCCACTGATGAGTGAGTCTGTACTCCTTCCAGGATGCCTGAGTCAATGGATTTATCTTGTCATCCAGACCAGAGTTTGATCAAGTGTTTGATGTCTCTGTGAAGCCTTTTTCATTGGACATAAGAAGCTTGACAGACCAAGGTCAAAAGTCAGTTGTCCAAGATTTTCTGCTGGGAAGTTAACAGAATCCTTACTGCTGGAGATGCATTTCATCTGTAGAAGGGCACACACCCCTCCTCATTAAGTAATACTGATGGTTTATTTATTATTATTTATTTAAAATATTTTTACTCCGCCTCTCTATTTAAAATATTCGAGGTGGCTTACAATTTTTTTTAAAACACAATATAAATATATATAAAAATTAAAATATGGTTTATACCTTCACACAAATATCCAAGGTACTTAATAAAGATCATTTTAATCAAGCACTTTTCATCCTGAAGGCTCCCAAACTACTTTGCAACCTGGCATGCAAATCACACGTAGCATGGCAGCTAGCAACACACAGTGACTGGACAGGATTGTCAAGGCAGAGAGTGAAGAACATGGTATCACATTGGAGGAATTCAGGTAGGTGGAACATAGTTACCCAAGTTGGACTTAGAGGTGACGATGGGAGCCTAGAGCGGTGCTTTATAAACTGAAGAAATTAATGACATTTGCCTTCACAAATGGGGGAAATGTACTCACATTTACTGTATAATTCACTATTGCTATACAGCATCCTTGTTGTGACTAATAGTGGCCACATGACACGAGCGGGTCTTCTGCCCATGAATATTGCATTACAAAAATGTATTCTTGTGTCACACAGTAGACAAAGGGAGGAGCTGTCAAGGGACTCAAGGGCAGTAAGCTTTAAATTCTCCGGCTTTCGTTGGCTCTAATCATCATATTGCTTGTATTAGATTACCAAAATGCTAAGAAATGCTTAAGAACACAAGCATGGCCATGCTGGGTCAGACTGATGATCCATCTTGTCCAGTATCCTGTCTCTGAGGGTTTGTCTACACTACAGCACTAATTCGAACTAACTTAATTCGAATTAGTTAATACGAACTAAGCTAATTCGAACTAGTGCATCTAAACCTAAAAACTAGTTCAAATTAGCATTTTGCTAATTCGAACTAGCATGTCCACATTGAGTGGACCCTGAACCGAGGTTAAGGATGGCCGGAAGCAGTGCCGGCAAGGCATCGGATTAGGACTTAGAGCGTGGAGCTGCTGTCTCAGGCTACCCGAGGGCTGTGCTTAAAGGGACCCGACCCCCACCCCGGACAGACAGTTCTCAGGGGTTCCCGCTCACTTGCCTAATTCGATGAGGGGCAGCAAAGCAGTCCTGACTTGGAGTGCCCTGAGTGCCCACACTCGGCACATCACAGCACTCGGCCATCAGCCCGGCAGCACTTGCCGCAGGCTGCCATCCGAGGGGGGGGGTCAATCTAGGGGCTTCAGGAGATCTTCCACCCCGAGGAGCCCGCAGAGCCAGCCCAGTCCTCCCATCGGGGGCTCGTACCCCATTCCTCCCTCACCTCCTTCCACTTACCCCTCCCTAGCCCCCCTTCCTGATGTACAAAATAAAGGACATGTGTGTTCAAAAATAGAAACTCTCTTTATTGAACAAAACTCGGGGAGACTGGGAAAAGGAGGTGGGAGAGGGGA